AACTCTTGGGCTACTCTTTTACCAACGAATAGTGGGATTGATCTTCACATTATAACGCCCCCACGGCTTAAATGGCGAGCATGTTTGGTGGGATGCGGAATCGAACCCGCGACCCTCAGATTGTGAGTCGAGCGCCTTATCCACCTGGCCATGCCGGGCACTAGTATGAAGAGAGAAAAGTCTGCCAAAATAAGCGGGGTCTATCCACTTGTCTTGGAACAGAGAAATGCGAATAAATATAAAGTTAACAAGTGGAATATAATGTTATACGTAGGCTGTCATGATGAATCGGAATATTATCTACCTTTTGTATATGTAGTGAGCTCCATCGCTATTAATTGTTGCATCTTTTTTAAAAAAATCGGCTTGCAATAGCAACTTTCTAACTGAACACGAAAAGAGAAAACAAAGTAATTAACAGTAATTAACTCACGTTTCTTGTATACTTTGATGAACTTCTCATATGCTTCAGTGAAGATTGAAGACTTAAGTGACTAAGTTTGGTTCCGTATAACTTAATGACTTCCGTACACTTTTGTGACTTCTCCATATCTTCATGATTTCCTTTTACGTAACTATAGTGACCTTCCACGTAATTTAATGACTTATATATACATACACGTTATTGACTCCTGTGTACCTTAATGACTTCAGCTGAATTTCGCGATTCCAAGAAAACGTCAACAACTCCAACCTTACACGAACACTATAAATATAACCTGAATTTAATGCTTCCACGAACACTTCAACAACTCCAACCTTACACGAACACTTCAACAACTCCAACCTTACACGAATACTATAAATATTTATGTAAATTTGAAGCTCGCAAGAAATAATCAGATTATTTATATTGAAAAGGTTTACATTTTCAACAGTTTATGTTTTTATTAGTTCATTTTATTTGTGTCGAAAGGGATTTTTAGATTGCAACGATATAATAATTCAAAAAACATTTTGTTACGCTGTATTCCAAAGAACAATGTTCAATCACAAACCGCGTAACGCTCCCAGACGGAAAGTATATTAAATGATTAATGGCTGACAATGTTCAAGATAAAAAGACGACCATCCATTAATTTCACGTCACTTATAGGTAACATTAAACAAAATCCAACTATCGAATACTAAGAAGATTTAGGAGTCAAATTAAGGGTTTCAGTTTAAATACTTATCCAATGACATACTAACGACGACCTATTCAAAATTCACTACAATGTTTAAAATTATCAACAAATTCTCATTAATTTCAAACGGTACTTTATTATACATTAATATCTTGTGTTAAAAAGATTTAAATGACCAAACTAGACCAAAGAGTAGTTTTGTTGAATCAAAGAACTTTAAAATTATTTTTTCTGACTTATTTTATTGGTTTTCGGAATTTGTAGAGTATATTGGAGGGATTTAGATATTTTTTTTGCAATGAAGTTATTTAAAAAACGAAATTTACTGTCCAGATAATAATAATAAAAAAACTTTAATTCAGGCAACTTTTCGCCATTGAAGCTTCATCAGTGCTGAAAAAGCTGCACTAGCGAAATGTTGGCTGAAATATAGTTTTCTGATTTAGTTCGAACTGTAGGATTTCTAGTAGCGAGCAAGCTTATAATATATCATTTAAAATAACAGTCGGAGAAATAAGACATATTATTAAAAACAGATCTGCGTTCTACATTTTTTTATCTTGTGTACATAGCATGTCTGTTTGCTTGTGGGCTTCAGTACTCGCATTTACTCCTATGTTTAGTTTTTAGTTTCATTCCCCACGTAAGGCTTGCGAATAGGGATTAAACGTAAAAGACGATATGAGTCTTACTTCTTAAGATCCTTCTTTCACTAAGATATATTTTACCATTCTCAATCTGCCGACTAATGTTCCCGTTCTTTTATTTCTTTCTTGCTTAGTTGTTTAAATTGAAAAATTTCAGGGACATACACAGAAATATATACAGGAAGAGAGACACTTTTGGAGTACGAGTCCTAGATTGGTCAAAAAGCAAAAACATTCGTTTAGATATATATTAATTATATATACTTTATAAACATATGGATACAAGTTAAGAGGTACGATCACACCTACCACACTCTCCCTCACCCCATCCACCTACGTGCATGAACTTACCAAGGTAAGGAAACACTGTTGTATATTGTATAGCATTGTTTCCTATAAATACTAAGATTAGACATTTGTTTGTACATGTATAAAGTTATTTTCACATAGGTTCTTAGGTTTGATCATTATTTTAGCTAGCAAAATGAATGTACAGGTGAAATGCTACCAAGTACTATAACTTTTGAATCTGTTTTGCTGGGAAAACATATTCATCCACCATAAAAAAAAGCATTGAAACAAAAATTAATTTTGTTGGACAAACGGATATAGATTCTCATTTACTCTGACTTGACTAAATTAAAAATGTGTTCAATACCATTTGGGAAGAAGTTTGGAGAGTTGAAGGCCAGCTTGGATTGCCACACACAAGACTGGTTTTAACGTATAATTCCACTTCTTCCTCAGCCCCAAGTAAACCTGGAGGTGAAAATGAACTCCAAACTCGAGAGAACGCCTATCAACCAGCAAGTGTTATTTTATCCTCGTTATTCTAAATGTGTGTTCGTGGTAAGTAACATTTGTTAGAAGTTTAACACTTCTGAAGTATAAGGAATTGGTCCATGTAATTATGTAGGTTGTGTGTAAAAAAATGTATTTCAAAGTTTAGTGAGGTGTTGTTAGGTAAAATCTTCATCACCATGATTCACTTTATTACGGACATTGACCATTTTGCATTTCTTCAATGAAACGTTTAACAATGTTATTTTTACTCATCAAATAGCCCGGCATGGCCAGGTGGCTAGGGCGCTCGACTCGCAATCCCTGTCACACCAAACATGCTCGACCTTTCAGCCGTGGGGGCGTTATAATGTGACGGTCAATCCTACTATTCGTTGGTAAAAGAGTAGCCCAAGAGCTGGCGGTGGGTGGTGATGACGAGCTGCCTTCCATCTAGTCTTACACTGCTAAATTAGGGACGGCTAGCGCAGATAGCCTTCGTGTAGCTTTGCGCGAAATTAAAAAACAAAACAAAAACAAACAAACTCATCAAATAACGAGCCCGAAATTTCTGTCTATTCAAAATGAACATTGTAATTTTATCCAATATTTCTTAGGCTTTTAACAATGCCTGCCATCACTCACATCTAACTCCTCCCATTTTTTTGTCCACTCAAAATGAAACATTTAAAAACAATGTTTTTACTAGCCCCAAATACTTGTCTTTTATTTGCCTAGTGACCTAATAAATAATGTCATACGGAATTGATATTTTTCATATACTTACATGACATAATGTCTGGTGAGTAATACTGAAATTCATAACACTGCCAACAGCTTTTTTGTTGGTTAATAGGTGAAAATGAATAATAAACATTATTATGAAAATACATCCTACTCCGTCGTGAATGGAGGTGAAATAACTCGGTGATATCAAATTATCAATTCACAGTGCAGTTTACAAACAATAATACCAACATAAGTAAATGTACTTCAAAATTTTAGAATAGCTATTCCTAGCTATCACTTTTATAACTATAACCTTCCTAATGTAATCCTAGCTCAACAGAAAATCCAAACTCCACTCCCATTTTTGACGTTTTTGTTCTTGGTGTACTTTCAAATCTAATATTAATGTAAATATTTCACAAAAATCTTACCTTCTGGTGCTCAGTCAACTTATCGCTGAGGCTTACAACTGAGTGTTATTCTTTGTTGAAAAATGCTGTCTAAAGATATTTATATTGGTCTTTTGTAGGACTAATTTCTTGTTTCAAGTCGTCTGCTAGCTATATACTCAAAGCTCTAACGTTTTTGCCATTGTATGAGTCACGTCTCGCGACGACGAAGGCTCTAAGCATTCTAATGTTGCACACAAGCGTCGCACGCCTCAGGCCTAGCAACAGGCTTACTAAAGAAAATACCCGGATCTGTCGTCATGACAACGACAATAGAAGACACGAGCACTTTCTTGGATGCCTTGCACGACTAAGTAAGATAAGTTCAAGGTTAAAAAATATATTTATTGATTTAAGACTGTAGTCAAACAAACATGTTTATGGATGGTCGCTGGCTAGTAATAATTTCACTTCGATTGTGAACTCCAAGATCAGGAGTCAACGACCTATAGGATTATATATATTTTTTTAAAACATAATTTTAACGAATAAGCAAAGTTTATAATAGTTTGCAAAAAAAACAATATATGCAGATTTAGACTAATGTCTAACAAACCGACGAAAGAGGCTAATGTCTTCTTGAGTAAGCATCCAAAAAGTGCACATGCTATAAGAATATTAGGTAAGTTGATGATCTTAAGAAAATGTTTTGCATTGGGGGAAGAAAATGGTGTGTTTTTTTTTAATTTCTCATTTTCATCGAAGTTGTTATTAAATGTCTGGTGAATTGAAGTGAAAAAAAAAGATATTAAAAACGAAAACATGATTTTTATATATTCATTTATTTTAAACACAGAATAGCCATTTATGGTCATTATGTGAGGCGTTCATCGGTGGGTAAGCGGTAATTTATGGACTTACAACTCTAAAATCCGGGGTTATGTTCCATGCGGTGGACAGCGCAAAGATAGCCCATTGTGAAGCTTTGCGCTTAAAAACCACGCCAACACAAAAGGATTATGGAGCGTGGGTTGGAGTTCCGAATTTCGAAACTGGCGAACCTCTTTGGAGTTCGTGTGATACCTCTAAATACACCCCCCCCACCACACACACACTTTCAGCTGTGGGGGTAGTAATGAAAGTGACAGACAATCTGTTAGACTAGTGGTAGGTGGTAGAGTGCTGTTGACTGGCTGCCTTCACCTAATGGTCAGTAATCCAAAATAAGGGACAGCAGCAGACAGCTTTGCTTAAATACAAAATATTGTTTGTCTTTGTTCGAGGGCCCGGCATGGCCAAGTGGTTAAGG